TCATGGTGCCCTTCCAGGAGATCCCAGCCCCATTCCCGGGATCCCAGCCCCATTCCCGGGATCCCAGCCCCATTCCTGGGGATCCCGGCCTCATTCCTGGGGATCCCGGCCCCATTCCTGGAGATCCCAGCCCCATTCCTGGGATCCCAGCCCCATTCCTGGAGATCCCAGCCCCATTCCGGGGATCCCAGCCCCATTCCTGGGGATCCCAGCCCCATTCCTGGGGATCCCAGCCCCATTCCGGGGATCCCAGCCCCATTCTTGGGGATCCCAGCCCCATTCCTGGAGATCCCAGCCCCATTCCGGGGATCCCAGCCCCATTCTTGGGGATCCCAGCCCCATTCCTAGAGATCCCAGCCCCATTCCCGGGATCCCAGCCCCATTCCTGGGGATCCCAGCCCCATTCCCGGGATCCCAGCCCCATTCCTGGAGATCCCAGCCTCATTTCCTGGGGATCCCAGCCCCATTCCTGGGGATCCCAGCCCCATTCCCGGGATCCCAGCCCCATTCCCGGGATCCCAGCCCCATTCCTGGAGATCCCAGCCTCATTTCCTGGGGATCCCAGCCCCATTCCTGGGATCCCAGCCCCATTCCCGGGATCCCAGCCCCATTCCCGGGATCCCAGCCCCACTCTTGGAGATCCCAGCCCCATTCCTGGGATCCCGGCCCCATTCCTGGGATCCCAGCCCCATTCCTGGAGATCCCAGCCCCATTCCTGGAGATCCCAGCCCCATTCCTAGAGATCCCAGCCCCATTCCTGGAGATCCCAGCCCCATTCCTGGAGATCCCGGCCCCATTCCCGGGATCCCAGCCTCATTTCCCGGGATCCCAGCCCCATTCCTGGAGATCCCAGCCCCATTCCTGGAGATCCCAGCCCCATTCCCGGGATCCCAGCCCCATTCTTGGGATCCCAGCCCCATTCCTGGGGATCCCAGCCCCATTCCTGGGGATCCCAGTCCCATTCCCGGGATCCCAGCCCCATTCCCGGTGTCACAGCCCCATTCCCATTCCCATTCCCGTGTCCCAACCCCATTCCCAGGGTTCCCGTTCCCATTCCCGGCTGTCCCAGCCCCGTTCCCGTTCCCATTCCCGGCTGTCCCATCCGTTTCTCACCGCCCCGTTTGCGCTCCCGCCGCTCCCGGAGCTGTCTCTCCCCATTCCCAGGGTTCCCGTTCCCATTCCCGGCTGTGCCAGCCCCGTGCCCATCCCCATCCCCGTTCCCATTCCCATTCCCAGGGTTCCCATTCCCATTCCCAGGGTTCCCGTTCCCATTCCCGGCTGTCCCATCCGTTTCTCACCGCCCCGTTTGCGCTCCCGCCGCTCCCGGAGCTGTCTCTCCCCGTTCCCATTCCCATCCCCGTTCCCATTCCCATTCCCGGCTGTCCCAGCCCCGTTCCCGTTCCCATTCCCGGCTATCCCATCCGTTTCTCACCGCCCCGTTTGCGCTCCCGCCGCTCCCGGAGCTGCCGCTTTTTCCGCTTGGCGCTGAACGGCCGCTTGCGGGGCATGACGGGAGCGCACCTGACGGGGCGGGGCCGAGCTCCGCCAATAGGCGCAAAGGGGCGGGGACACGCCCGGGGGAGGAGCCAATAGGGTGGCGTATCGCCTCAGCGCCGCGGCGTGATTGACGGGCCGGGTGACTCGTAGCGGCGCGGCGCACGCGGCGGGGCGGGATTAACCAATAGGAGGACGCGTTGCCTCAGGGGTGGGCGGGACAAGAAGAGGCTAGCCAATAGCGACAGCGGCGCGCGGGGCTGGCGGAGGAGCGGACCAATGGGAGGAGGCGGAAGCGGCGCGGGGCGGCGGTGGCGGCGCATGCGCAGTGCGCGGTGCCCGGCCATGCCGAAGGGAGCGCGGCCGGCGGGGGCCAAGCAGGAGGAATGGAGGGGGGGCGAGGAGGGTGAGGGAGAGCCGGGGGGGGCCAGGACTGAGGGGAGAGACCCCCGGGAATGGGGAGAGACCCCCGGGAATGGGAGAGACCCCCGGGAATGGGGACCGGGACCCCCGGGATTGGGGGCCGGGACCCCCGGGATTGGGGAGAGAGACCCGGGAATGGGAGAGACCCCCGGGAATGGGGACCGGGACCCCCGGGATGGGGAGAGACCCCCGGGATTGGGGAGAGACCCCCGGGAATGGGGAGAGAGACCCGGGAATGGGGAGAGACCCCCGGGATTGGGGAGAGAGACCCGGGAATGGGAGAGACCCCCGGGATGGGGGACCGGGACCCCCGGGATGGGGAGAGACCCCGGGAATGGGGGACCGGGACCCCCGGGATGGGGGAGAGACCCCCGGGAATGGGGAGAGACCCGGGAATGGGGAGAGAGACCCCGGGAATGGGGGAGAGACCCTCAGGATTGGGGAGAGACCCCCGGGAATGGGGAGAGACCCCCGGGATGGGGGAGAGACCCCCGGGAATGGGGAGAGACCCCGGGAATGGGGAGAGACCCCCGGGAATGGGGGAGAGAGACCCGGGAACGGGGAGAGACCCCGGGAATGGGGAGAGACCCCCGGGATGGGGGAGAGACTCCCGGAATGGGGGAGAGACCCCCGGGAATGGGGAGAGACCCCGGGAATGGGGAGAGACCCCCGGGATTGGGGAGAGAGACCCGGGAATGGGGAGAGACCCCCGGGATGGGGGAGAGACTCCCGGGATGGGGGAGAGACCCCCGGGAACGGGGAGAGACCCCCGGGAACGGGGAGAGACCGCCGGGATTGGGGAGAGACCGCCGGGATTGGGGAGAGAGACCCGGGAATGGGGAGAGACCCCCGGGAATGGGGACCGAGACCCCCGGGATTGGGGACCGGGACCCCCGGGAATGGGGAGAGAGACCCGGGATTGGGGAGAGACCCCCGGGA